AATGGCTGCTATATTTTTGTCCTTTCAGTTTTAATGCTGTTCTATATCTTTTCCTGTTCGTGTGAATTCTCTCTTGTAAGAATAAGGTGGATTCCCCCCCCCATCTTTGCTGGAGAAGACAGATGATGTCAGAGACTATTTTAATGCATTTTCTATTCAGGTTTATACCAAAGGTACCAGCCTAACCCTTTTTCATGGTTATGGCTTCAATTGAAGGCAAGGTTCTAGATATTATGCAGATTACTTTGTTTCTTACTGCAACAAAATAGCCCCAGAGCTCCTATTACTGTTTATTTTGTAATTAGAAACAGCCTATATTATAAATAACACTAGAAGTTGAATTGCCTGCAATGCAGACAAAATTTGGGCTGTTGCTATGGGTTCCAATTCTCTACCTTTTGCTGCCCCAAAACAGCCGCTATCAGTGGTTTCAAGGGTATAATGTGAACGTTATGCAAAATATGTCAAATGTTAATAAGCCCATTAAAACATAGCTGGATGAAAAATAAGATTTTTTTTAACCCATAGCAGCCCATTTGATTCTCAAAGGTTAAATGATGTTGGGATAGTGACCCAGCTTTCTTCACTATTTAATAGCATGTCCTCCATTTCATTCATTCCAATATTACTTCCATAATTCTTTCACTAGTGTGAATTGCCTTTGCCATTTTACCACCCACTCACTCAGCTTGGAGAGGCCCGCTAGACTTCCTTCATATATATAGTGAGCACGTAGTAGAGGGATGAAGCAGGATTTTGGTCTGTCTCCAATCTCCTTGCATAGTCAAATCTCTGAAAATGGGCCCTTTCCTTCATACAGCTGCAGGCACATGCATACTTGATGCAACTGGGAATCCTGCACATTCAGAGTTCTGGTCATGCGCAGCACCTATGTACATAGAGCTGTATGTGCACAGCACACCTTTGCTGATGTAGGTGTCAGGGCCAGTGGAGTGCTTGCCATTAGTGACGGGGCCATCTGGCACAGTCCCAATCCTTTACAGTGGTACCTTGGGTTACATATGCTTCAGGTTACATACGCTTCAGGTTACAGACTCCACTAATCCAGAAATAGTGCTTCAGGTTAAGAACTTTGCTTCAGGATGAGAACAGAAATCGTGCTCCGGTGGCACAACAGCAGCAGGAGGCCCCATTAGCTAAAGTGGTGCTTCAGGTTAAGAACAGTTTCAGGTTAAGTGCGGAGCTCCGTAACGAATTAAGTACTTAACACGAGGTACCACTGTACATACATTTATTCTGTTATGAAAGGAAATACGTGAAAAGCTCTGAGATATGAAACAGCAACCCAATATCAAGTTCTCACCTTTTCCCCTTGAATTGTTTCAGCTTAATCATTCTCCTGATGAGCACCTTCTGCAGGGAAGCAACATCCTGTCTGCCTGAACATTATGGGGAGAGGAGTGAGGAGTTGACACAGGCAGCTATTTTTAGCCACCAGGGTTGGCTCTATCATTAGGCAGAGTGAGGCAACCACCTCAGGTGGCAGATACTGGGCTCGAGCCAGTACTCCTCTCTGTTGTATGACTGGGTTGGGTATGGCACATGGGCTCTTTCTTCACATCCTAAACTACTCCGCTCCTGTATGTGTAATGAGGTGGGCACCATCTTATCCATTGCCTCTGGCAGCAAAATGTCTTGGGCTGACCCTGTCCATGGCAGCCTTTGTGCATTGGCCCATTATGGACTATGGTAGTTGCAATCAGCGAGCTGCAACCCTCTCCCTTGGAGAAGGGCAAGATGGCTTCACACCATGAAGGAATGTGTATAACCACACAGTTCAAAAGCTTGCCACACGGCATACAAATGGAAAATTTTTAATAGCTGGGATTCTGTTTAGAGAGCAACCCCCTCCCCTTTAAAGTGACTCACAATTAGGTATGTAGCCCACTGCTCTCTGTACCTGTTCATCTTTCAATCGCAATATCATTATTCAAACTTGATCCACTGTGGTTTGCATCTTGTTAAATTCATATGATCAGCCCTGGTACGATGATTTGTGAAAATAACAGTGTTGTTTTCTATTCCCCTGACGATGGCGTGATCAGCTTCTACAAAACAGATGCCATTACATTCCTATATAGTCCCCTATCTGCAATACTGCTATTGTTATTCATTGGCCATCATCAAGTAGCCATTGCGCCCAGGCAGTTTTACTTTCAGATTTATTTACATGGGGTGGGGAGACAAAAGATTTAAAACAGTTGTCTGTGTGTAAATGACACAGATCATCAGCAAGACATCCTTGTGGGTGGGTGGGGAGGGACTCCTCTGAAACACAATAACAAATCCAGCCATCCCCCATACCCATCCTTTTTCATAGCTGTGAATGGCCACATGCAGAAGAAAAGTTCGCAAGGGCAATTGCTGCAAAATGCAGAGAGAACAGCAGTATTTTTTAAATTGGTCATTTTTTGTGTGTGTTCCAGCAGGCGTGATGGACGGGATGATGCTCACTGATGGTAGTGAAAGGAAGGACACAAAGTACATGGTTGTGGTTACGTTCCCCACACCCCACACAAACACACAGTAAAACAATGCAGAGCCTTGGTGAACTGTGCTGGCTGGATTGTTCCTTGGTGTTTTGCAACAGTGAAGCTGACACACCTTTTTGTACAACGATGGTTCTGAAAAGCTCAGAGAATCATTCCTTCTTTTAGAATGCATTTCCTATTAAAGTTACTACCATTAAACATTACTAGCTTACACCCATTAACCCCTCCCTCCCCCCCCCCCCACTATCATGTAATAGAGGGCTTTATAGGTAGGGAGGCAGGATAAGAAACAGCACTGAATTTTAACGCCTACCAGCATCACCTCAGTGGAGCAGAGTTCAGAGGAATACACATTTTTTGCAGAGCTGATCTGACAGTAACTCCGAAACAATGACAACGAACAGAGTACTGGGTTCAAAAACAGTGCCATTAATTTTGTGTGGATTTTGAAAACCAGTATCAATAAAGATCACTGATGCTCGGCTCACCTGGTGGGCAAATGAGCAAGCTGCTGCAGAGCTCACATTCATGTTTGATTTTTGCAAAAATTCTCCATCCTCCCTACTCATGATTCGGGTAAGCAAGGATGCTGTCCCCGACAAAGAATTCCTGTCAGTTCTTGGTGTATATGAAAAGCTGCTTTGATGAAGCGTAGCAGCCACAGATACCCAAACACTCTGTGAGGTAACCGGGAAGGGGTTGTTCGTGCTAAACTCTGAGAGCTTCTTTTCAGCTTTCTCAAAACCATGCGAATGAAGATCTCAGTGCCTTTCATGGAGATTGTTGCCAATTTGGGATGTAGAGAGAATACCAAACAAGCCTCCCACAAGGGAACAGGCAGTTAATACTCATTTAACTGTAACTTCTGCAGTATGAATGTGCACTTTTATCAGACAAATAATTTTAGCCTAACATTAGAAGGGGGAGAACAGTATAAATAGGTGCAGCTTCTCTGCTCTCATTAACATCGCTATTATGCTGGGTTTGGGTTAAGAAAATGCAGTGTGGTTACTGAGGCCATAAGGTGTATGCTTGAGCATAAAAATGGGCACTATTTTACACCCTTTTTGAAAACGTATTTTCCCATGCCAAATCATGGGGTAGCTTAAATCCACTATTCTGAAAGCATTGCTTAGTAGGTGAGCAAATGTTTTGCATTCAGAAGGCCACAATTTCAGTTCTCAGGATCCCCAGATATTGAAACTCTGGAAGGCATCTGCCAATCAGTGTAGACAATATTGAGCTGGGTACCCACTCATCTGACTTTGTATAGAGCAGCTTCCTATGTTTAATAATACCTGAGAACTTTAGTATAGGCAGTGGTAGCCAATGTATTGGTCTACAACTCCAGGTGTTGTAGGATTACAATTCCCATCATCCCATGCTGGATGGGCTTATGGGAGATGGAGTTGAACAAATGCATGGAGGGGATCACATTGACAACCTCTGATTTAAGGCATATTATTGTTGTTTTCATTTCAAAAATAATTCCCCAGAGATATGTTCTCAAAACCACAGCCTATCATCTATAAAGACACCTGGAGAATGAGCAGAGGGTCCCAGGACTGCAGACAGCAAAAATGTCCCAGTCTCCAAAAAGGAAGATCCAGGAAAATACAGGGCAGTTGATACAGGGAAGATACCAGAACAGATTATGAAGCTTTCCATCTGCAAGTATATTGATAACAAGGCAGTGATTGGGAGAAGCCAGCATGGATTTGTCAATGAAGAAGCCCTACAAGGCAAATGGTTTCTCTCTCTTTTTTATCAAGTTACTCACTTGGGATTGTGGGAATGCTGTGGATGTCATTTTTCTTCATTTTATCAGAGCATTTGCCCAAATTGCCTATGATATTTTGGTTAACTAGCAACTTAAACGAGGGCTAGCTGATAACACCATCAGATGGCTTGACAGCTGGTTGGAAAACAGTATTGGAAGAGTGCTTAGACTCTGGGAGTATCACTCCAGTTCACATTGTTTTTTGGCCCACAAACAGAGCTGTTGTACACCTTGTATACCTGGCTTGACAGTAGTATATGTGAAAAGGATCTTGGGTTTGCATTCAGTCACAAGCTGAACATGAATCAGCAGTGTCTTGTAGCTGTAAAAAGATAGGCTAATGCAATTTTAGATGCAGTTTTCAAGTCCTGGGAAGTACTGTAATGGAACCACTTTATTCTGCATTAGCTAGACCTTCTGGAGTCCTGTGTCTTGTGTCCAGTTCTGGATGTGACAAAATTAGAACAATTTTGGAGGAGGAGGAGGAGAACAGAGATGCTCAAGTATACTGAGTATGCTTAGCCTGGAGGAAAAAAAGAATGAGGATGTGCATGAAAGCACTCTTCAAATACTTGAAATAATGTCCTACAAAGGCTTGATCTCTGTAGTCTAGGGCTAGATTTATTAGAATTACAGGAGGGTAGAGTTTACTTGAAATTTAGGAGAAATTTTAGCGGTGAGCATAGTTCAACAATGGAAACAATTACCTGAGCAAGAGTGGGCTTCTCTTTGGTGAGGTTCAGGAAGAGGCTGCTCAGGCTGTTCTTGCTTCAGGTTTCTTGCATCAAGCAGGAGGTTGGAATACAAGGCCCCTATCCACGCTGGATTTCTGTGTAAGAAACACACACAATATAAACTGAAAAAATCCTTCCAGTAGCACCTTAAAGACCAACTAAGTTAGTTCTTGGTGTGAGCTTTCGTGTGCATGCACACTTCTTCAGATACACTGAAACAGAAGTTGCCAGATCCTTCTATATAGTTAACTTAGTTGGTCTTTAAGGTGCTACTGGAAGGATTTTTTTTGTTTTGACTATGGCAGACCAACACGGCTACCTATCTGTAATATAAACTGAATTTAAAATGCCAATGAAGTAATTTGTATCATGCAGCATAAATAATATTGTTGCATGCCATCCCTCTGAGCGGTGCAGGGGTTCTGAGCTCTTACTCAGGGTTCGTGTTTCTTCATAAAGCAGTACAGCAGAGACTGTGGTGTCTTTATGATATATGGTTTATTAACACACATATATAACCTTAGCCTACAATGGAGCCTCCTGCGGGAGGTAGTGGAGGACAGAGGTGCCTGGCGTGCTCTGGTCCATGGGGTCACGAAGAGTCGGACATAACCTTAGCCTACAATGGAGGGGTTCACAGCATTAACACCCTCAGGGTCTCGCTTCCCTCATAAGCCACAGCCTTGGATTCAAACAGAAATCGAACAAGACTGTCTCTCTCCATTCCCAGCTTGCTGCTTTGCTTCTAGCTCACACCACTCCAAACTCTCTACTCTCAACTTTGACTTTGTCCTTATAACTATCCATGAAGTCAGGGAGGGGGCCCCACCCGTTTGCTGTCTCTCACAGAGCCCCTTCCTTTGTTCCCCTTAATGGTCCATCAACTTACCAGGAAGCTAGCTTGGCTATTCTAAGAATTAGAAAGGGGGGGGGCAAGCATTAGAAGGGTCTCAGCACACAGCCTATGCCCCTCCCAACTCACAACACTATTAAAAACCCCAAATACACACATGAACCCACTAAATTGTCACTTAGAAATGCAATGCATTGACCTTGTCAGATATATATGAAGTAGCATGCCCCAAGGATGCTACTTCCTTTCTCTGAGCTTCTGTATTCATGTGCGCATAGCACACCTATGTGGTTTCTGAGAGTGTATGAATAAATAAAATTATTATTAAGCTGAAAACAACTAAGCACCATGTTTCCTGTTAATAGAGTCAAATATGTGTGTGTACAATAAAATCCTGGGGAAAATACACACCAAGTGACATTTACTGCCCCTGTACATGATGAGACTAAAATCTATCTTATCAAATACTTGTAAGCAACTCTCGCCTCTAGCTTCTCGTTTCATTGTGTTCGTGTCTTATTAAAAATTAAACTCAAGTTCCTCCTCCCTTCAACGTTTTCCACCAAAGTGGAAGATGAGAGCCCATGGACTTGTAAAGATTTCCATCGTGATTCCACATTAAATGTGCATAAAGGACTCTCCTAAGAGAAAATGACGATTAGAGGAACATTCCTTTTAGGAGGAGGAAAAGGGCAAAAGGAAAAATACTCCCTTTTTCTAAGCCCCCCGCAGCGATAATGCTTCTTCGTACCTGGTTGTCACTTTGAAATTCATTATATTGACCTAAAGCTTCATGCATTGGAATGCTTTAAGAATAATTGACAGCAAGAGAAGATATAATCGCAAGGTATTGTCATCAGTGCCTCGGCAGCTCTTTCGCTTAAAAACACATTATGTAAATCTATGCAGTGCTCCAGTCATAAAATATTATGCACACATCGTGTGTGGAATAGAGACGGGGTGTCACAAAAACCTGTTTGAGAAACAGGCTACCAATTAATTCCCCCCTCGCCCTCCTACAGAACAGATATTCACTTGGCACATTTTTGGCACACTGTAGTCCTTTTAACATTTCAGAGTGGCTTTTCTCTCCTGACATTGTTACACAGTGTAGTTCTAAAGAAATATGCTATAACTACCACACACAGCAAGCATAACTAGAAATGGAGAGAAAAGAAAGAGGTCTCCATTTCATTTGCTAATTTGTATTCTGCATAAGACAAAAGAAAGAAAGAGGCAAGTGCCTGAGGGTGGGATGTGGGGGACCAAGACAGAGGATGCTGCCCAAGGGTTTTCAACCATGTAGCAAGCATCCCTTGGGCAAAGGATGTGAAATACCTTAGCTGGGGTCCTATCAATTGAGAAAAGGCACCTCGTGCCCTGGTGGTGAGGACTCCTACCAGAGTTTGTCAGTTATTTTTGTTGCATCCATGTGTTTATGGATCATGGAAATAGGTTTGAGGACTCCTTGCCTCACACCCTGAACAAAGAGTTGAGAACAGGAATTGGTAAAAGCAGTGCTTTTTTTCTGGGGATACTCAACCGTATGCTGTAACAGCACCGTTTTTTTTCCTCTAGAAGAAAAGCACTGGTTAAAAGGTTATGTTTATAGAAGCATAACAAGGAAGATCTTGAGACAATCTCACACAACAAATGCAGACAGATAATACCCACCCAGGCAAGCAGAAAAACTCCTGACTGCAGCTAAGGGCTGATCTCCAGTACTCAAGGTGGCATGACGGGAGGCAACTATGCTCTTCCCGTAAAGGGAAGCCAGGGGTGTGCCACCCCCCACACTGCTCAGTTCTCAGCAGTTGGCATATGCCAGGCCCTGAAAGCACCAGACCAAGAGGTCCCACAAGCCAGTCAACAATAGGTCTGCACCCAGCATGCCTCAAGTTGTTGACCATGCTCTAATTAAGTGGTACTCCAAGTGGCAGTCCATGGACTGGTGCTGGACTGCAAGTCATTGCATACCCTCCAACATTTATCTGATGAAAATAGGGACGTCCCATTCCATAATGATAATTTTACTGTTTATACCCCACACATCTTACTGGGTTGCCACAGCCACTCTGGGAAGCTTACAACATATATAAAAATATAATAAAACATTAAACATTTTAAAAAACATCCCTATGCATAAAAACAACCCTATATATAAAAAACATCCCTATAACTCCATACCCTCCAACATTTCCCAATGAAAACAGGGACAACCTAAGAAAAATGGGACATTCCAGGATCAAATCAGAAACTGGGACAGCTTCTCTAAATCAGGGACGTCCTTGGAAAATAGGGACACTTGGAGGATCTGCCATTGGCTTCCAGTCTGCAGTGACTCCAGCACAGCCCGGGTTGGGTGGGACACAGTTGGGTGCCCACAGCATGCAGCCAGATCAAAACCCAAACCCACCACAATCCAACTGAATTCAGAGAAGTATGGTGAGCGGGCAGGGGAGGGGGAAAGTATGCCCAAAGCCAACCAGAGTGTAGTAAAGAAATTCCCATTCAGCCCTGAATGGCAAGTGGCAAAGCCTGCATTGGTCAAAGGGTGAGTTGCTGGGATGCTGAAGATGAAGAGTTCAGAGGCAACCTTTTAGAGGCAACCCAAGCCTGTAGTACGATCTCAGTCATATGAGATCTCACCCCTGTTCCTGAGAGGAAACTGCATGAGGCGTTTTGCTTCATTTGGGTCTAATAAATATACCCCGCCCATCCGGCTAGGTTTCCCCAACTACTCTGGGCAGCTTCCCATATATATAAAAATGCAATAAAACATCATACATTAAAAACTGCCTGATGCAGGGCTGCCTTCAGATGTCTTCTAAAAGTTGTGTAGTTCTTTATCTCCTTGACATCTAATGGAAGGGCATTCCACAGGAGGGCACCAATGAGGCCCTCTGCCTGGTTCCCTGCAACTTCACTTCTCGCAGTGAGGGAACCACCAGAAGACCCTTGGAGAAGGACTTCAGTGTCTGGGCTGAACTATGGGAGATGCTTCTTCAGGTATACTGGGCCAAGGCCATTTAGGGCTTTAAAGGTCAGCACCAACACTTTGAATTGTGCTCGGAAACATACTGGGAGCCAGTGAAGGTCCTTTAGAACTGACGTTATATGGTCCTAGCGGCTACTCCCAGTCATCAGTCTAGCTGCTGCAGTATGGATTAGTTGTGGTTTCCGAGTCACTGTAGTGATATCTTTTCCAACTGATGATAACACTTCTTTCATCTGATGAAGCATTGTCCAGTCCATGAAAGCTAATGTCGCCATAAATCTCTTAGTCTTTTAAGGTACCACAAGACTCTCTGCTGGTTTTTAAACCTAAAGGTAATATTTGCCAGAGTGCATAAAGATGTCACCACTCAGTTTGTACATGCCTCTAATTTGTCACTGTTTATCCACATGGGCCTAGGCTGGCATTTCTGGCATGGGTCACCTTTTTACCATCTGCCCAATATGCAGATTCATTCAGACCACTGCAGTACATTGTTGGCTCTTGTGTTACAATTTTCAATGTCCAGATGTCCCTCATGTGTTCTCTGAAGCATCCCATTTGGGGCACTCCCAGCCTATCACCTTGGAACAATTTCCCATCAATTACAGACAGTGCTGTTTTATATTTAAAATATGAGGCAGGTACTGTATGTAGTAACCTGGCTAGCAAGCTACCTTTCATTTACTTGCTGTGGCTTCTACAAATTCTTTCCATTTCTTTTTTTATATATATTGTGCCTGTACGCCTTTTCTTTTTCAAGTTGATGAAAAGTCAATTTTGTCATAATTTTCTCCAGGAGTGCTGTCAAATGTCCTGGATAATGTGTCGCCTGCTACCAGATCTTTCTCCTGTTTTATACTCCATCTTGCTGAAGCTGGAAAACAGAGTCTCTGGAAACTAAGAGAAATGCCTGCCAGCTCTCTTGTTATCAAAAGAAACCAGAAGTTTATGGGCAGTTCCTTTGACAACTGGCCTTTCATAGATCAAGACACAACATTTTAGTGCAGCAAAAAATTGAAGCAAAAACTTCTTTTTCTGAGCACGTTGGCAAGGGAAGGATAAATCAGTCCATTTTGGTTACTCCCACTTTCTCAAATCTTAAATTTAGTTCATCGCATTTGTGCACCAGCATGCATTTTTTAAGTCATCACAATAACATGCCAGTATTTTAGTGCGACTTTAGGGCACCTGTTGACATTTTGGTTTGTCTTTCATAAAAATATTTCAGTGCATTAAATGTTGTT